CAATAAATAGGATTAAGCAGTTTTTCTGCAGCAGGCGGGAGTAGAGTTCGAATTGGCTCCAAATAATTATCTGTTAATTTCCAACCCCATCCTTCTGGGTCCAGCTCATTGCCTAGGCACATTTGAAGTTGATAATACACACGATACAAGTGTTGAAAGGCAGAAGCAGACGTTGGAGGCAGACAATACCACTGTACTGTTTTATTGTTCCATGCAGATTTATATCCCATTGTAGGCCTCAGAAAGATATTAAAACAGTTATTATGGTACTTAGCTTTCTAGTCATACTCAATATGTAAAATATTAATTTTCTAATTATTAAAACAGCGAGATACCGACACACCATTCGTAAGAGAAAAAGTGACTGGACCATTTTGTAGAGAATTGTACGATCTACAACTTTTGTCAGACCTGTTTTCACGATAAAACTTACCGTTTTCGAGAAAAATGGAAAAACCCATAAGCCATTTGTAAGTTTGACCTTGAATATTTTTTTTGCAGAAGTTGGATCGAAGGGGATTTTAGACATTTTATTTATAATGATGTATTTAACGTCTCTGCCAATTTTCAGCTCTATGCGAATTATCTCTAAGTTATGACTTATTTTTGTCTATTTTGACTGGACTATAGAGAGAATTAACTTGTCCACACAGTCAGTAGAAAGAGCATGTAAAGAGCCATCTGAAAACGAAGAGGATGAAAATTTTACTGATTTCAGTATACAAGTCATTGCCTACATAGCAGGCAATGTGGTTCATGTCCTAATTAAATAAATCAAATGCAATATTTGCCCTGGAGCCCTAATATCAGATTCAAGTAATAGTAATAATTTACATAAAAATTTCGTTAAAATAAAAGGTGGCCTGATATATCCGTCCGTGGTGATGTTATAAAAATATGCAAAAGTGCAGAAACTGTACTACGACAACATGCAGATAATTCGAAGAATTTAAAAAAAGAAGTTTTAGTCGCAAAAATATAAAAAAAAGTTTATTGGCACTTCATAATTTGATGACATATCATTTCATCAAGTCGGTGAATTCCCATTATCTAACCACGTAACAGATTCAATTAAAGTGGTAATTGAAAAATATATAAATATACGTCTATATTTCTTTTGAAAAATATCTTTAAAAAAGAAAAAAGGGTCACCTTTTTCATAAATATATATTTTTTCAAGGTCAATAAATAACTATCTGTAGTAATGCGTTTTACATTAAATCATTTTCTTTATCTTTACTGACTTTGACAGGACATAAAATTCCATACAATCAAGTCAAGTCCAACTCGTACTTGGCATATTTAATATCGATAATATTTCATCGACTCAGTGTCAACCACAAACGCTAAAATCGGTGTGAACGAATGAACGCTCACAGTCACGGCTGTGAGCGCTGATTCGTTCGGTTGCTTGATGTCGCGTCGTTTGATTGGCTTATTATCTATTAGGTGGAAGTGTAGTGGGGACGAGACGGCGACATCGGTTCTCATACTGGCGATCGCTTATCACCCTTCTAACCTCTTTCTGTGTTCTGTGATTACGTATATATTCATATTTTCATTTCTGTTATATAATCATTTAAGTAGTCATTGGTACATAACACAGGTACATAATCATCTTCTGAATTGGAAAAATGGAGGATTCTATATATTTGAGTTATTGTGGTAATAAAAATTTAGAAGGGTAAAGTTCTCATTTCTTTTATAATCATTTATTAAGTAGTCATTGGTACATAATTTAAGTAATCAGTGGTACCAATTCTGGCATGATTCTCTAAACTTAAAACTAAATTTAACATCAGTCTCTCCTTTTCATTCTGTATAGAGAATGACAAGGATATACTGCTGTCAAATTTAAGTTTAGGTTTAGAGAATCATGCCAGAATCGACACCATTTTCTATATTAAACAGGTTAACAGTTTTTAATTCATTCAGTCATGTGATGAATAGTTACATAATAGCAATAATTTAAAGTTTACGCCGTTTAGCCGTTTTTGGCCACATCTCAAAAGTTGGTTTTGTCATTTAGCCGCATTTTAGCTTGAGGACGGCAGATTAGAACAAAACAAAGGAGCGCGAAACAATCATGTCTGTACAAGTTTTTGGTGCTAAAATCCAGCCGAATACTTTTGCCTAATATTCGGCTATTCGGTCAGGGGCCTCGCCGAATATTCGGTATTCAGTATATTGCCGAATAAAGTATTCGTTGCAAGTGTAATAAAAATACAGGGTGCCATTTTTTCGAATTTTTGCAAGTTCGATTCCCGTGTTTGGCAAGCAAATTTTCGAAAAACTGTGAATGCAGTTGTGTTTTTTTTTAAATAAAGGAATGTTTCCATTGAGTAAAATTATCTATCTCCAGTATTTAGAGTACTTCCCCTGTGGAACCTGCTTCTCATACCATGTTCAATAACAGGCACTGGGTATTCCAACAAGATTCGGCGCCAGCTCATAGAGCGAAGAGCACACAAGACTGGCTGGCGGCGTGTGAAATCGACTTCATCCGGCACGAAGACTGCTCCAGTCCAGATTTGAGTCCGTTAGATTACAAGATATGGCAACACTTGGAGGAAAAGGCGTGCTCAAAACCTCATCCCAATTTGGAGTCACTCCAGACATTCTTGATTAAGGCAGCCGCCGATATTGACATGGACCTCGTTAGTGCTGCGATAGACGACTAGCCGCGCAGATTGAAGGCCTGTATTCAAAATCACGGAAATCATTTTGAATAAACTTTATTGTCATAAGAATCTATGTTTTGTTAAGTTCATCTTCTACTATATAAAAATAAGTCGGGTTTTCCTTCCTGACGCTATAACTCCAGAACGGACGAACCGATTTCCACGGTTTTGCTTTCGTTGGAAAGGTCTCGGGCTCAGTGAGGTTTATAGCAAAGAAAATTCAGGAAAAATTAAAAAAAAAACTTCTTTTAATCACCAAACGAAATGTTACATAAAACGAAGCCATCTGGTGGCGAAACGGAGTTCGCCGGGTTTGCTAGTTTTGGTATATAAATGGTTACATAATGAATAAACTTGTTTCAATTATTTTATATTAAACATGTGACAGTATTTATGACCTGACTAGGTATATACATGTATGCACATATACATATTTCATTTACTAGCTATAAGAGAAAGAGAGAGAGAAAAATGTGCGTACGCACTGCTTTCTCTTGCTTATATATATCCACTCAACTCCCGTTCGCCTCGCTCGAACATACTTTTCGTAACGCGTAACGCATTCGCCTCAAGCCAAGCGTGCGTAAAGAACTTTCACTTCAAAAATGTTCACACAATATACTTTTCTCATTAAGTTAGTTATTTTAGTGTATTATTGATACTGTTCGACGACGTTGTGAAAACAGGTAACGTTTACGATTCGTGAAATAACGATAACGACACATTGGTGTGTCAAATCTTTATTTATTTATTCGAGCTGTATGAGTTTATTGACTAACATTAGTTTTTTAAGTATAATCTGTTTGTAGGGACACGAAAAAAGTATCGATACTTTGTGGTGTCGAGTACTTTGCCTTTCGATACCGATACTTTTGTACTCGCAACTACATATGTATTCCATACTTTTACTAAATGAGTACTTTTTGGCAGTATCGATACCTTTAAAAATTTGGATAAGCGCCTCATATTGATGGCAACGCCATCTTGTTAAATCATAGCAAACCTTCTAAAACGTTCCATAGTTATTCCATTAGTTCCACGTATTTGACAAGTTTTAGGCAACGATCTCACGTTATTGACTAATGTTTATGGAGTCCGTAAAAAGGATATTCATAATTCTGTCGTGCATTTCAGTAAAAATACCCAAATCAAAAACTCCATTTTCAAGTTGCCGCGAAAACCTTTTTAAGGACAATATGGCGTCTTACTAGTGTGTGACGTCACATGACTGTTATTAAAACGTCAAACGATACAATGTAATGTCACTTTGACCGGAAGTTTATTTGCATGTGACTTCATTTTAGGCTCCGCCAATCCCAAGCGTTTTGGGTTACGTGACTATAGATAAGAAAACTAATATCTTTTTCGTTATTTTGGCACTTTATTTTTAATACTGTTTAATGCCCTATTGCGTTGTTATAAAGTCAGTAACTGACATATTCAAATTCTTTCTAATCTGTGACTGTGTTTATTTTGCGCTATGTTTTGTTTCATACTTAGTTATTTATTTAGCGATCATATTGTTAAGAACTGTGATTGATTCGCCGTTTATTGTGCTTTTCGCTTGACTGTATTTGATTTATTCAACACTATTATGTGTAACACTATTATTCTGTCAGTGCTGTGTATACCTATTTGAAACCACCTGAAAAAAAGACGGACGTAACCTCTTCTATAATTATAATCTTGAGTGAAGCATGCCAGTGGCAGCCGTTAACTACGTGTCAGATTCAAGTTAATATAAGTGGGTATAATGTTTTTTGATGATTAAAATTCAATAAAAGTAAGTTTAATTTGAAACAAATCTGAAAAGTTTCATACTTTTAAATTGTTTAAGATTTCGATCTTTAATTAACATTTTAATTATGAATGTAATATTAATGAACACTTTTTTAGTGTCAAAAATCACAGCTATTTTCTTTTCATTATATAATATAGCAATTTGTGAATCTACATGTCCTTTTTTTGTTTTTGATTATACGTACTATAATAAAATTTGATTGTTGTTCTTTCAATTTTAACGCCTGGGGGGAGGGGTTGCATATCAGGCCACAGAGGCTCCGATAAAGCCCTATGAAATGTACTCGATACTTTTACGAGTACGATACTTTTTTACCGATACTACTCATGAGTACAGTATCGATACTTTCTATTCGATATCGTGTCCCTATCTGTTTGTTACTCACCCACTATGGATCCATTGTCATCCGAAATAAATTATAATATTTTATATATAGTTTTCCCAGTCAAGTGCAACGGAAGACAAGTGATTAAAAATTAGGGCCTCACATGATAAAATTAATGAAGTTAGGTACTTACCGTATATTATCATATTTCTTTCGGTTTCTGTCTTCTATATATTGCCCTGCAATTAAAAGAACAATGATTAATATCTTAGAAAAGTTACCGGTGACTTGTAGTTGCTCCACCCAAGACTGCAATACTGTTTAGTAGTTCGATTGAGATTAATAAATGGAATGCATGATTGAAAGGCTCTCTTTAACTAATATCAAAAAATAATAAAAAAATATTAGTATGGTTAAACGAACTCGGTTGATTCCCGGCTTCCTTTTTTATTAGAAGCTGTTGTAGCTTGTTTTGTTATTTAGCTGTTTCAATGTAGATTTTTTTCACTCTTCATTCACAGCATTCTAATAGGTATTTATTTAAAAAAGTTGAAGTTAACCTTTAATTTATAATAATTACTTACCTACACACGTGCCTACACATGTTTAAGCGATCCAAAATCCAATTTTATATACCTACCCCTAGGTGATATGGGTAGAGTGTAGAGTTACCAACTTTTTTTTATCAAATATAGTATTTACGACCTTTAAAAATAAAGTAGATAACAGAAATCGAAAAAATATAGTGATGTCGATTCTGGTGTGATTCTCTTAACCAAAACTTAATTTGACAACAGTGTGTCCTTGTCATCCTCTATACATAATGAAAAGGAGAGACTGACGTCAAATTTAGTTTAAGTTTAGAGAATCTTGTCAAAGTCGACAGAAGTACGAGTATGTGTTAAAATATTTATTTTTAAAATGATTATATTTATACTGTTAACCTTAATAATTCAGTGCTTATTGTTAAGAAAGCTTTTACTGATCAAAGTCTGCCTAAAAAATGTTGGCAACCCTAATATAGTGCGATTTAAATAAGAATAGGAAAACCAATGACCTCTATCTGTCAAATGTCGCTTCAAAAGTACGGTTTGCAAAAAAATCTTGGAACCCTTTTTAGCACTCAGCTAATTCTAGAATAAAACCAAACATTTGTAAACAAATAATTACAAATACTGAAAATTTATATTGTTTGATTTTTTTTCATTTATTGAGCTTTGGCTATGAATGGTTGATAACCTAAATTGTCAACCAAATGTCACTTTAAGGTGCGTTCAGAAACTGATTCAAAACATTCGTTTACTTAAAGGATGCATGTTCGAATGAGACCTAGTTATAGTGCATGATTATTCATAACTACTCCACCGGTAATGCAGAGATGAGCGGAATTGAAGAGCTAGATTCTGATTAATGTTTTTGCTCACACAGTCTTAATAAATAAATATTATTAATAATTGGTTGTTTTTTTTTTCAATCTTAGTTAATACATTTTAATAAAAAAAAAGTTATGTTGTTCTCAAGTATTATTAAATAAAACCTTTTTTTGCTCACTCTACCTATTTGGTTTGAATTGACAGCTATGACGTCACAATATGGCTTCCAGTCGGTCCTATTCTTAGTTGAATCGCATTATAGAGTGGGTTATAAACCGACTTTCACGCGAACGAAGTCGCGGGCACAGCTAGTATTATTTATGTGATGGTGAGGCTTACTTATACCGTCGCGCAGGGGTCCAAAACAGTCCTCCCGTAGTAATCTGAATTGGACATCTAGGTAATGCTCCGCGTCTCGATAACCGCCGCTCACAATGTTTTTGCGCACATATGGTTTATAATTAAGCAGATCGTGATGGGTGGGCAGCACACCCAATTCCCGAAAGTCTTCAGGCGGCTCGTTTTCCTCTGCATCTTTATTCGTGTTGGTTTTGGGTTTGCTTTTGTCTTCCTATAAACATTGATTATTTTAACATATTATTTTACCAGCAACCAGGCAACGTAACTTACCGATACCTAACCAATACAATGAACAACCCATTAATTTAAATACAGTAGTAAACCCATAATTTTGGCTTGGGCATAATACGTAGAAGACAAAAATCATGTTTTTGTTACATAATATAATATACAAACATGTAACTGTCAGTCCAAAAATCCTGAGATTTCGTAAACGAAAAATTATCTACCAATATGGGCTTGTACATCAACATTCAAGATATACTGCTGCTAATTAATGAAAAATTCTGAGTATTGATTGCAACTACTAAATTATTATTTGTGATTAATATTTTTTGATGATCATTTTTATAAGAGCTATTTTATTTTATAAATGTGTTTACCTTCATTTTGAAATAGTTAGTTTTACCAACAATGAGTTTGAATCAATAATAGCACAAAAAACAAACTTAAATCTTTTGTAACTTTTCATAATCTATTTTTACACGAACTTTTAGTAATGGATTGCAAAACGCAAGGTACACTTACCTTCTCCTTAATTTCAAATTCAGTTATTCTACTTCGTAATTCTATGAATTTTGCTTTGATCTCTTCAGATAATTTATATTCATGTCTAGTTTGAAGTTCTTCTAGGCACAGTCTAGACGTAGCTTCTATCAAAGATCGACATTTTTGCAATGCCAAAGATGGGACCATGTTGAAAATACACTCAAATAAGACTATTAGATGTTCCCAAAATTGATTAGGGTTAGTCCAGTAATACTTATTTTTTATTTTATCTTTTTGTTCAGTAAAAGGTAAATCCATTATATAGTTCCTTAGATTGACTATGAATTGTGAATTTATTATTTCTAAAAGCAGCCTTAGTTTCAGTTCGTCAAAAGATGATTGGCATACTTTAGACATCGTTTTTACTATTAATGTGTACATATCTTTATTACTTTCAATATTTGAACTAAGTAAATCCAGGAAAGCTTCCCTATTTATATTGATCTTGGCAAGTATATCTTTAGCATCAGTGAAAGATATCTCCTCCAATGCTTTGAATCCCATCTTTCTTATTCTGTTACCCCTGCTATTTTGATTTGCTTGTCGACGATTTCATTGACCCGATGGACCCGAACCAACATTTAAATTATTTTGGACGTTGTGTTCTTTGTTTCTTGATGCATTTTGCGATATACCACTACTCGACGCTTGATCACGGGGCCGATTAAATCGTGAACCTCGAAATTAGAACATAATTAGTACACAGATGTAGGTGATTACAATTAAGTATGGAAGGAAGAAATTAACAAATCATTTTGGACGCTCACATTACAGAACAAAATGCATATGGAGCGCATAGTACACGCAATGCGTGCCACCGAAGCAAATACGAAGTCAAAATAAATGCTTTTTAGGGTTCCGTAGCCAAATTTTATCCGTGCGGTGACGGAGAAATAATACAACTCACCGCCCCTTTTCTTCCCGTGGGTGTCGTAAGAAGCGACTAAGGGATGTCGGAGCTTCCATCCGCGCCTAACACCCGCCTGGTTTATTACCACCGTGCGCATGGTGAAAAACCCGTGTAGTGCTTCTCGCGCGTTTCGGGGTCAGCCAGCGTATAACCACAGCTCGAGTGGAAGTTGTCGCGAAGGGTTCGGTCCAGGGGAGGCATCTGTCGAACCGATGCCGGGAGGACTGCATCGACCCGTCGGCCAGGGAGACCCGTAGAAACGGCTGTCCCGCTGGCCGCCCGTGGCACAGTACAGGGGCCCAAGCGTTCCTTAACCAGTTCGCGAGGCTGCCCCATCATGTCACGTATAATCTCGGTAACCCGTCGTGCCACTTGGTGACCGGGGCGTGGGGTCCCGGCGACCACTCCCGGGGGAGGGTGCGCGGGCTCTTTCGTCCGGCGGGTCGGCGCATCTCCTTTGCAGGCAGTCAATCGGGAAAACAAACCTCCCTTATTTGCCCGGACTCTTCGCGACAGCGTCCGCTCGTTTTCGCGTCTCTTTTTTTCACTTCCACCATGGCAGCCTCAATAACAAAGTTTCGACATACAGCGGTGCACACCCCCACGCCTTCAACGCTGTTTGAGGTCGAGTTCTGCAACATACGCGGACTCCACTCTAACCTCAACGCTGTCCACCACCATTTCGAGACAGCACGGCCAGCATTGTTGTTCCTGACGGAGACACAAATACTTCCGCCTGCTGACACAGGCTACCTAATTATCCCGGCTACGTGCTTGAAGAGTCTTTCAAAGCGAAAGCCGGTGTACGCCTGTATGTTCGGGCGGATGTTTGTTGTCGCCGTCTCCGCTGCTTGGAAGATCCCTACTTCTCCATGCTGGGGGTACAGATCCCGCACCGGCGATGTTGAGACAACTCGACTTTTTGCGCACCTTAGTCGGGCAGCAGATGACGCGCAGGAACAATTTCCCAATGCAGAATTGGTGTTTTTGGGGGACTTTAATGCTCACCACAATTTGTGGTTAAGTTCTTCCAAAACAGATCATGCAGGGATCTCTGTTCACACATTCGCTCTCACGCATGACTTGAAGCAACTGGTGGATCAGCCCACTCGGATCCCAGATATTCCAAGTCAAGTGTCTTCTTTACTGAACCTTCTGCTCACGACCCATCCACAGGGCTATCAGGTTGTTGTAAGAGCCCCCTTGGGCTCGTCAGAACACTGCCTGATATCTGCCAAAGCACCACAGGCCAAGCCTCCGCGTCCAGCAGTGGTCAAGCGCCGTATCTGGCATTATGGGTCGGCAGATTGGGACGGTATGCGTGACTACTTTGCGTCCGTGGAAGCAGCGCTGCTTCAGTGACTGGGACCTATCGGGCAGTGCCGTTGCCATTACTGAGGAGATTATAATGGGTATGGAATACTATATTCCTCATTCTGATCTCATCAGGAAGGGCACACGTAACCTCTGGTTCAATCACGACTGTGCTGAAGCTGCTTCGCGTAAGCAAGCGGCATATTGTGCTTGGATCAGTGCTCTCAAGGATCCCGAGGTCGATTCACTCAAAGCAACCTACAATTTTGCTTCCAAGGCCTGTAAGAAAGCTTACATCAGAGCGGATGCCCAGCGCGTTGCACGTGTTGGCCAGGAACTTATAAAGCATCCTACGGGCTCCCGTAGCTACTGGCGTTTGACCAAGGCCGTGCAAAAAACTTCTGCCAGCCCTCGCTGCCACCTCTGAGATGCCCAGACGAAACACTAGCTCATAAGCCGCAGGAGAAAGCTGATTTACTGGCAAAAACTCTTTGCGACTAACTCCCTAATCGATGATTGCAATGCACTGCCACTATCATTACAGAATTGCAATCACTCGACGTCCGGAAAGCTAGTGGACCTTAATGGCATCCCAGCAGTAGTACTGAAAAAATGTGCAGCGGAGTTGACTCCCGTGCTCACGCGCTTGTACCAATGCTCGTATTCTTTGGGGTGTGTGCCGGAGACTTGGAGAGATGCTTACATGCAGCCGGTGCCCAAAAAAGGGGATCGCTCAGACCCGGCAAACTACCGGCCAATAGCAGTCACCTCAGTTTTATGTAAAGTTCTAGAAAAGGTCCTTAATAACCATCTGTCCCGCTACCTAGAGGATCACTCCCTGATTAATGATCGTCAATATGGTTTTAGACCGAAACGATCGACGGGTGATCTTCTAGCGTACTTATCTCATATCTGGGGTGAGGCTATCGACAAGCGTGACGAGTCGTTGGCTATCAGCCTTGACATTGCCAAGGCATTCGACAGGGTCTGGCACAAAAGCCTTCTCTCCAAGCTTCCGGCATACGGTCTGCCAGCCCAGTTCTGTTCTTGGGTAGCTGACTTTCTGCATGAGCGTAGAATTCCTGTCCTTACGGATGGTAGCAGTTCGTGGTTCATGTCAGTGAATGCCGGCGTTCCCCAGGGCTCCGTCCTATCCCCCACTCTCTTTCTGCTGCATATCAATGACTTGATTCCTCTTGGGAATATTCATTGCTATGCAGACGATAGTACAGTGCATGCGGGGTATCTCGGACAAGCAGCGGCTGGGCAGGCGGTAACCAAGGAGAAACGCGAGAATCTTGTCATTGAACTCAATCAGGCTTTGGACCACATTTCCGAATGGGGTACCAGGAACTTGGTTGAGTTCAATGCCAAGAAAACTCAGGCTTGCGCTTTCACGGCAAAAACATCGCCATTCCTTCCCCTTCCCACTCTTCAGGGCACAACACTACCGCTACAGAGCAACATTTCCATGCTCGGTATGGAAGTTCGCTCAAACCAGAATCCAAAGGACTACATCGAAACCGTGATCAAAACAGCTTCACGCAAACTCGGGAGTCCTGAACAAGGTGCGGCGTTTTTTCACGCCCGAACAACTGTGCTTGTTGTACAAAACGCAAGTGCGGTCCTGCGTGGAATATTGCTCGCACCTCTCTCTGGGATGGCTCCGCCAAGTACATGCTCGATGCTTTGGATAGCTTACAGCGGCGCGCGATCCGCATCATAGGCGATGAGGAGGTGATTAAACACCTTTAGCCTCTTCAATTACGCCGTGACGTGGCGTCACTAAGCGCGTTCTATCGTCTGTACCTCGGCGAGTGTTCTGAGGAGTTATTCTCTCTTATCCCACCTTCCCCTTTCCTTCAGAGGACCACGCGCGTTGGCCTACTTTCTCACCGTCTTACTGTGGCCACAATTCCAACGCGTACAAAGAAATTTGGAGACTCATTTTTTTGTCTCGCTATCCGTAAATGGAATGCTCTGCCCGCTCACGTGTTCCCTCCCTCTTACAACCTGGGATCCTTTTAAAGAGGCGTGAAGAAGCAACATGCAGGCCGGCAGGGTGAGGATGGCTGGTGTGGCAGGTAGAACTGCTGTATCAGCTATCTTCGCGTCTGGACTTCACCTTCACTTAACATCAGGTGGGGTGGAGTCATTTGTCAGATCTATCTATATAAAAAAAATGACAAAAACCGGAACCCTTATGGATTCGTCATGTCTGTCTGTCCGTTCGTATGTCACAGCCACTTTTTTCAGAAACTATAACAACTATATACTGTTGAAACTTGGTAAGATTTTCACATAAAAATATAAAATAAAAAACAAGAAATATTGGGGGTTCCCCATACTTAGAAACTTGACACTCGATTTTTTTTATTTTTCATCTGACCCATACGTGCCGGCTATTTAAGGATAGATCTTCAAAAATGATATGATTTAAAGGCCGGTAAAGAATACCGGCCAGTCCCGATAAAACCGCACGGCTCCATCAAATAATACTCAGCGAAAACACCTGAACTTTAAGCCAGAAACATATTAACGTGTCGTAGCGCTCACTGACGTGACGGCAAGTGTGTACACTGTATCGTGTCGTGGCTCGCTCTGGTGCAGTGTGACCAGATTCAGTATTTTAATACGTTTTCGCTATTTATTTTCGACTTTTCGGAACGTCAGTTGAAGTCAAAGTCATCTTGTGGTGTATAATGACGCTTAATAAAGGTTATATAGTATTGCAATAATAATACTTCTTTTAAAAACTTCCTTGTGTCAATATGAGCAAAATGTATCAGGGGTAGTTTATTTATATTTTGAACAACGAAAACGGAAATCGGGGTACCGTTCCCAAAATACTCCTTTAATATCTTCAAGATCCTTTTGTGACTTTCCATCTCGCTTGCGTTGAGATCTGTTCTTAATTACCACACAATCGTACAGCAGATTTTTTACATCTGTAATCTCCTCCTCAGAAAATGCACTACTACATCAAACTTATTTGATCCATTACGTCTAGCTTAAGCCAGAAACATATTAACGTGTCGTGGCGCATCGGTTTCATACATTTATTATGGGTTAGAGAGAGATTGAGAGGTTAAAGCGTCGACACGACACGATACGTAAATATGTCTCTAACCATAGTAAATGTATGAAACCGATGTGCTTCTGGCGCGCCACGACACGACACGACACGTTAATATGTTTCTGGCTTTATTCGGTATGAAAGCCAACAGTTTACTAATTACTACATCACAACTATTACACTTTACGTTTCACATAGTGAATAGGTAAACAAATCGCAGCGTCCGTCAAGTACGCGTGCGTCACCAAGTACGCGTGCGTCACCAAGGTCGCGCACGCGACGACTGTCAACCAACGTGTTAATATATTTTAATAATACAGCAAGTTCTTTCTAAGCAGAATTTCTAATTAAATGATCATTTTATTCTTTACACTTCA